GCGAACATAACGTTAAATCGATCAAAAAGTTTCCGATCGGTTTTCATACAAAGTGATGTTTTTACACACATATAATCGTCGTGCATATGCAGTGCTACACGACGATTAACCAATTTATTCGTATCGTCAACTATCTACAGCTCGTGCGGTAGCTTTTCCATTTTCCACGACGAGTTTAACCGTGATTCTTTTTTTCGCGTATTGGAGTTTCACAACCCGTTTTACGTGTAGTGTTGTAAACGCGATATTCGCGGTAATACGCAGTAGTCGTGAAATATGTTTTTCATATCACTAGGGCGAAGGAACTCCACTGTATTTTTTCAGGGAAGAAAACCGGAGAGAAAAACGGGCCTGTCGTGTCGGACGAGTTTCGAGTAGTGGCGTTCCGTAGACGTGATTGAAAATGTTATTGTTAAACGTAGGGGAAAATGAAGATGAAAAATTCGAGCGGAAAGTTAAAAGAAGGTGAGTTGATGATGTAGTGGATCTGAAAAATTTCAGCAAAATTTTTAAAGGTCTGTTTTCGTGCTCCGTGAGTGTGAACACCAGTCGTAACGATACGTCAATGGAGTTTCTTCACCTTAGTGATATGGAAAAATATATTTCACGACTACTGCATATCACCGCGTTGAATATCGCCTAGTTTTACGTCGCCACTTCACGTAAAACGGGTTGTGAAACTCCAATGTTTCAGAGTTGTAGAGGCGATCGAGCGGAGGATTGCAGAATGTGTGAAGGATGAAGCCTTTCAGCAAGAGTTAAAGCGCGAGGTGGAAAAGGCCAGGATGGAAGCTCGGACTAATATGGTAAGGTTATGTTGTTGTATATTTTTGTAGTGGAGTTTCACGACCCGTTCGACGTGAAGTGGCGTGATACTCCTTGTGAAAAACGCGAAATGAGGTGAATTAGAAGCATTTGGTGAATTACTTCGAACTAATTTACCCACTCACTGCTCACACGCGTTTTTCGCTAATGTGAAATATGTTTTTCACTAGTGTTTTTGATATCACTAGGGTGAAACTCCAATGTTATACTGATTGACAGTGTTGGAGGAATATGTGTTCGTTCCCCCCGCAGCTGAGTTTCTTTCTCGGGTAGAGGTGTATAGGAACCAGAAAGAATTTAGCAAATTTTCTTCAGAGTTTCCACATTGTCATCACCAACACATGTAGTTGACCATGTGCATATTTCCCCCACACTGTGTGATGGTGTCAGCATAAAGAAGTTGAAGCAGAGAAGGTACTGATTCAGAAGAGCTTTGACGAGAAACTAAAAGCCCCGAAGAAAACTGGAGATGAACATACTTCGACTAAAGAACTTCCTCCTACCGTGTGAGCGTCAATACTTTTCTTGCATTGGAAAAATGGCATTTTCAGGGCGGTAGTGAAAGAATCAGAAGCTGAAGCTCTGAGGGTGAGTTATGGTATCAAGTCGAATAATTATGATTTTTTTTATTTTTTTTCAGAAAGAGAAAAAATTGGAAAGTCTGCGCAAAATAGCTGAGGAAAGGGAGAAGTATCGGTTTGTGAGTGCTGCCTTTCGAATTCTGCGTTTTTTTTCAGACGAATGCGAACTGGAGGGTCACCTACACATACCGGGTTGGTAGCGACTACTGGCCGAGCTGAGGTCGGGCCGAGCATATCATTTTCGTTGAAAAAGCTCGGGCGGTGATGGAAACTTGTTTCTATGTAGATTGAGAATTGTGTGTTATCGCAGTAGATGGGGGCGGAAGCAAGTCGAACGCAAAGCGAATGGGCGAGAGTTGCACGCAATGTTTGGGAGAACATAAGGAAGCCTCGAGTCGGACGCGGGAATAGATCCGAGGACCGTCCGGTTGATGGTTACATAGGTTAACCACGTGGTCATACAGACTCTACGGAGTGCATTCACTGGTCTAGTCCTTGCTCACCACTACAAGCATAACGGAAGTGGAATAGATCGACCATTTCATTCAAAATCTTTCCTCTGGTTGGTTCGGTTTGACAGGTTATTCGTGAGGAGAACTTGAGGGGTATTTTCAATAGGAGAATATTGCTAGGCCAGATACTGAAATCCAATGAGTCGCTATATGGATTTGAACCGTGGTGGCCATCGATATGGCTATGAGTTTCATCTTTTTCCGTTCACGTTTGACAAGTGAGCAGACAAGAATGACAGTTTTACAAGCAAGTTTGGCTTTGAGAATTCAAGTATGTATAGATGAGTGAAGTCGCCACTACACATGTTCAATCTCAAATTCAGTAAAGTGAAAAGAATACAGCCAATTCAATCTTCACATCCTCATAAAGTGAAATAGTTTTCCACAGAACGGAAGATCAAAATTCGAAATGAATTTGCGGTTTCCGTAGAGAATACCGCTCGAAAATTCAAGTTCAGATTTATGAATGTTACGAAAGCGCTCGAACAAAAATGCAACTGACAGTTACGTTTTGCGCACAGTTGCTTACTGCGCGGCACGAGTTGCTCTGTCCACCCGTAGATTTTCCCTTTCCAAAAAGACTTCCTGTAGTTCACCACAGTAGCTTACCCGCGTTCAACAATCTAACTTCGGTCTGCGGGAATGTCCACTAGCCAATAGAGTCACAATTAGCATTCCCGGGAAGCGCGAGGTCAATCGAATATCACGTGCCGCAGGATAGAGAACACGCGTTCCAGCGCGGTCGGGTTGAACAAGCAGCACAAAGCCTTCCTGACACCTCGGTAGAGCGAAAAGTGGGATAAATTCCTCCGTACTTC